GAATGCCCAAGTGAAAACCCAAGGGATGCATAAATAGTCATTCTCTACAGCTTAATGGAATTGTAAAGTAATCCTCCTGAAACATCCGCAATTAAAAGCCTCAGTATCAGAATTCTGAACATAGTTTTGAGCCTCAGCATTTAACTGGTTTTGAGCACTTGGAGAGGACTCAAAAAAGAGCAATAAAAATGGAACACGGGTTAGAAAATTGGCCCTTATGAGGGGAGGGCTAAAAACTGACCTTCTGTATGATGCCTAAGGAAGTTTAGCCTTAACAAGAGAAAGGATGGGTTTTGAATCACAGCGCAGCATAAGTGACAAAGTAATACATCTCAGTTTCTTCTCAGAACAAAGCAAGAGGGAAGTGTAGTTTTCCCTGTCACTCTGTGTCTCTGTAGTAGGTTCCAGGAAGACAAGAGAGCCCCTCATTCCTCCACCAAAGGAAGTTGCAGCCCATACTGCTGGTCAACAAATGCTGAATAAGATGATAAGCTCTCCACCTTACTGCATTTATTTTAGTGACTTACCAAAGCTACCTCTTATCTACCTTTAAGCCAAACAGAAATGTTTTAGGAGCCTCTAAAATTTATACAGTACACTACAGTTTTTATTTGTGATTCCATGAATTTTAAATTTAAAAACAAAACACAAAAATTTAAAACCATAATGTCTAGTGCTACTGATGGTTTGGGAGATTACGTGAAATGAATGGATTAGATCATGAGAGAACATATTTAGTAGTATCTATCAATATATGTAAAATGACTTTCATTTCTAAAAACCAGTCTTGTGAAAATAATCCTAAACCATATAAAACAACTTTCCTATATGTTATGCTCTTGTTCACACTAATAAAACTCTAGAGGTAAAGGCCCATGTAGAAAAAACATGGCCATGGGATAAATCATTCAACAGTAGCAAAGACAAGGTAAAAATCACCCCATAATATATAAAACAGCTTTGCTAATATTTAGAATTATTTCCAAGGGGATTACTAAAGTCCAGAGAACTTAAAAGATTCCCCCCAAATCATGTTTTTAAAAACATATAATGCAAATTAGAATAGCTTGTATCAACCATCTTTTTTCTTTGAGACATGTTCATTTTTTATTTGTATAGAAATCATTTTCTTAACATTGACATTTCTCTACTATCAAGTGAGTRGCAAATATATTTTTAAATTTTCAGCTATATTTAGACTTTTAAAATTTATTTTAACCAATAGATTAAAAAATAAAACTTAGCTGGCACAGTGGTGCACATCTGTAATCCCAGCATCATGGGAGGCCACGGCAGGAGGACTGCAAGTTCAAAGCCAGGCTCAGCAATTTAATAAGGCCCTAAGCAACTTAGTGAGACCATGTCTCAAAATTTTTTTAAAAAAAGTAAATAAAAGGGCTGGGGATGTGGCTCAGTGGTTAAGCACCCCTGGGATCATTCACTGATACCTAAATAAATAAATAATTAAATCATACCCATGTTAATGGGAATCATGTAACATTTAGATAAATATATACATTGTGCAGTATTTAAATCAGGTTAAACATACCTATCTCCTCAAACATTTATCATTCCTTTATAATGAAAACTTTAAAATCCTTTCTTCTGGATTTTAAAAATGTATAGTACATTGTTGTTGTCTAAGGTCACCCTTATATGACAATGTGCAATAGCATCCCAGAACATCTTGCTCTTATCTAACTATAATTTAATATCCATGGATCAACCTTTCCCCATTCCTTCCTTTACCCACCTCTCCCTAGCCTCTGGTAACCACCATTCTACTCTCACCTACTATTTCTTTTTTTCCATCTATATCTATGAAACTAAATACCTTGCTTTCATAAAACACCAATTTAATGAGAGACACCAAAAGAAGACTGTCACTAGAGATTTGTTTACCTGTGACAAAACCTAAGGGGACCATATCTGTCATTTATGTCACTCTGTCTAGCCACATTATCCAAACTCATAAACTATTATTACATTTAATCTGTGTTGGGTTTTTTTTTCATACATAGCCTCATTTTCCATTATTCTTAAGGACAGCTTCAGTGGCAAAAGCCACCAGCTTACAGGCATCATCCTAAATCAGATGATACAGATATGAAAGGAATGTGAGCCCTCCTCTCTTTTCTCTTTTCCCTGTTGGATCATAGCTCTTTAATTCATTGAACCTAAAATGGCCTCAGAATCCTTCTCACCACCATATTACAAATAGCCACTAACAATCAAAAACCTGAGGGCTAAGGCTATCTACCATACTTGAACTCAATAATAAATCAGAAAATTCATTTCCTCATACTTTTGAAATTGATTTCTCCATTGGTCTATCAAAACTATACCCCTTCAGGATCATTAGTATACAGAAACTCAACATGTGTCAAGTCTTCTAAAATATTCAATACTAAGCCCTTTTATTTTAAATGTCTTTATAAAGCAAATAATGAAAGATAGACAGGAACTCACTAAAAATATAAGGTTCTCCATGGTGTGCATGTGTTTGTATCATTTCTCAGAATTTCACCAATTTACCCAGATAATTGCCAAAACAGAACTGAAAATAATCAAAGAATGATCTTCTGGGACATAACACTCTATATAAAAATAATGAATTATTTCTTTTACAGAAACAGGGATACTTGTAGATAAAAGAAGCCAGGGAATTTTCCTCTAAAAAGAGAATCCTAGAAAACTAGGTAACATCCCGTCCAGATTCTTTTAAAGCCTCCCCAGACTTACCATTTGTTACCCCCAATAAATACTAAACAAATAGACATGAATTTAAAACAAAGCAAAACACATCATGCCTCTCAGAATATTGAACACATAGACATGAATTTAAAGCAAAGCAAAACACATCATGCCCCTTAGAAGTGCCTGAGCCTGTGCCACCTCTAAGTGTTTCATGGTGTTTATCTGGAGGGCCTCTGCCAAAGAAACCTTTGGGAATCCCACATTAAGCCAGGCTCAAGGCATTGAGAGTGCCTAACAGGTATATGAACAACACGCTTATTATGTCTCTTCCCTGGTGAATCTCACCCGGAATATGACAGAACAATAAAAGCAACCTCAGGCCCAGAAAGCATCCCCATTTTCCATATAAAATAGCATCTGTTTTTCCCATGCTGACTCTGCAAGGCAGCTTATTTACAAATATATAAATAGCTGCAACTTTACTCCAGTCTCATTGAAAAATCAAAATGGCATCATGCAAGAGAAGCATCCTAGCATACTTGGCTCAGTGAGTGAAATGTAAGTGGATAGGAGCCAAGCTACTTGACACTCACTAGTCAGCTTAACCAGATACCCTCCAGTTTCCTGTAGTGCAGGTCCCAGGGTTCTGCTCCACAGAGCCAGAGAATWCATTTATATTGATTGCCCAGGGATTGGATAGCGATTTAGAGCCAAAGCCCAGGAAACAAATTTCAAGTCATGCTTAATATTTATAATCTCATGGATTCACAGGGGAATAGCATTGCCTAAAAGTCACAGCAAGGTTTCCAATATAACTACTTAAAATTAGCTAAGTCTTTTTTCACTCAAATCCAATGAATTTTAAAAGGTTTCACTCCAATCTTTTTTCCACCTGACCAGAATTACAGGAGTTTAAATAAGCAGGAAGAAAAGCTGCATTTTAATTTTTGGAACACAATATATTGCCTTTCCAAAATTCATTAAAGGTATCAACTACTAGTTTAGAAAGAAATATATATATGAGAAATATTGTGCATCTTGACTTTTCTTTATTCCATATGCCTACTAAACATGGAAATGCTGTGGTGTCCACAATTCCTGTCTATAAAGCTACCTAAATTGCAATACATGACATTATTGGTTTGTACAGTTATATCTGCTGAAGCATCCACCATATCCCCAATATAAAATCCCTCTCTTCCCTAACATTCATGTGTTTTACCAATTAATGGGTAGTTTACTTATAAGGAACCATGTTATTAAAGTAAAATTAACTAAAGTATCACAATATAGGAGGTTTAAAAGAAACTTTTCTCAAAGAAAAAAGTGTTTGAAAGTTAGGTTATGCATAGCATCTGAGATGATTGATGCTATTTCCCTTAGAGAATTCATATGTTGAGATTATCAACAATTTTTAGTAGAGGCTACCCATCAGGAAATGGCAGCATTCATAGGTTTTCCCACAAAACCACCTATGTTGCATGTTAAACCAAGTAGAATTTTGATGCTTTTGTCATGGTAGTGTTTTCATACACAGGGGTATTCATGCCTGATTCAAGGAATAAATATCATGATCATATATATTCCCTGTCTTCCTGGTGACTCAACTTTCTGAATGATATTGAACTCATCCTCAAAATATTGCCAACCATATTGAAATTATTATTGCCCTGAACAGTTCCTGACCAATTGCCATTATTTAAAAGGTAACTTCTCTTTAAAAAAATAAAAATAAAAATTCTAGGTGTAACCATAGGAAAAAACAAAATAACAAAGGAAAAATAGTAAATTCATTTTAAATGAAAAGAATATCAAGATAAAAAATAAAACTGCAGAACAGTTTATTTTACTTTGTATTCTATGTACTACAGTGAATGCCTAATAGCTAAATTCTTTTAACTTATGTGACAAATGATAAATGTAGAAATAAATTCATTAGATAACAGTTTTCTATCTCTGAATTTACATTGTGTCTTGAGTTTTAAAGTTTATTCACATTTTAAAACCTAATATTACTTATGCCTACTTTGGATATAAATAATATTTCTTCAAAAATGTATTTAATTACTATCCTCTAAAGATTATGGCTCTGTATATATAAAAGGTATTTCATATACTATAGAACAAAACTCAGATGACAAAAAATTTCATAAATAAAAAATACATAAATAGCACAGCCTTCGAGTGGGGGATAACACTATTGAAAAGGTTTTGCACTTTTTAAACAAATTATTTTGAAATTTCTTTAGAACATAGTTTTGTAGCATTATTAAAATACAAATAAAAATTATTATTTTACTTACATAGTATCTCTAATAAGAAGTGCACTTCCCAATTTGAAACAGGTTTTATCCCCTTCACAAAATGCACGTCTCAGAGAAAAGCTCTCTCCTAGATCAAAACCTGTAAAATGAGACACATTATTTAATCCAACAGTTTTATTAAATTTAAATATACTCACAAAAATATTGATTTTCTTAATGAGGATTTTTTTGTTGTCTTTATCTATAGGCTGATTTACTTCAAATGAAACCCTGATGTTTGGGATCAGCAAAATTCCTTTGTTTTATCTTTTCCTCCTTTTAGGGTACAAAAGGATGAAACTCATTTTGTATATAGAATATGTAGCCTTCTTTCTGAAGAAAAGATCACAAGTATATTTCAAAAGACTAAAATATTAGTATCTTTTGACATACATATTACCTAGGTAAATAGAGTAGCTCATTGTAGCATCTCTGAAGTGTAGACAAAAAGTTAGACAAAAAAATAATACAGTATTCATTTTCAATCTAAACAGCTCTTAAAAATAATACTTTAGGAGAATGCATATTGATGTGGGAAAATACTCGGAATTCAGATACAATATGTGTRTTATTAATATGTTTGTGTGAGTGTGTGTGGGTTTAAGAGAGAATATGAGAGGGAAATAGAGAAGGACAGAAGAAGATGATGGAGTGGAAGTGAAGGAGGAAGGAAGAGAAGAAGAAAGATTTGTAGGAATGTTATGCCAAAATGCTATTGGTGATTTTATCTGGGTGGTAAGGTCTTCTTTGCCATAAATTTCCCTTTCTCTTTAAAAAATTTCTATGGTGAATACAACTCCTATAATTTTAATTAAATTTTTTTTAATTTTCTCCCCAACAGTTTGAAGTGTTGTTGATCTTAAATTAAATGATACATAAAACTACTTTCAGCATTTTTCTGCACCATCTGCTTTTAATTTTTATGTTAATGCTACAGTCTTAAGTTGCAATATTTTAAAAAAATCACCTACAATGTACTGCATTTTTGGTTATCATTTTACACTAAATCCTACTTTACCAAAGATTGTAAAGCTTACCTGAAACTTCAAGTTCATTTCTGTTGTCTTGTGTGAACTGATATCCCACTGTCCTCAGAATAGGACATTGTTTTTCTGAAGAAAAAATATATATATAAATTATTTGTACCACATTTTCCAATCCAGTTTTTCAAATCAATTTGAATCTTATCATATAGTCAGAAAATTAAAATAAAAAATGAAAACAAAAACAAATAGAACCACTTTGTTAAATTTCTGTAAAATGTGGATAAAGATATTCCCCACCTGGCTTTGTGGATATGAGGATTCCATGTGGTTGCTTATGTAAAGTGCTTAGGATACTGCCTGGTACATAGTGGGTACATAGTGGGTACTTCTTAGTGTTAGCTATTATAACTATCATCACTATTATTCTAACACTCCAACTGTTCCTGTGTATTTGACATTAGGAAGTTGGCTGAATTTAAGAATATTGTTAAACTTTTATATCCAAAGCATACTCTAACAGTTAAACAAGTTTACTACTACTATATTTTAATATAAWTTTGATTCAGGTTTGGGGATTGTAGGGTCCTTGCTTAGCATCTGGACAGCCACCTTAAGTGACAGCCACCATTTTAAGAAAAATTTCACTTTCATGCCCAAGGGCATTTCTGAGAAAGGCTCAACACTCCCTCATACCAACTCAACCCTTAACCGCCTGCAGTAGTACCTGCCCAGCTCTAATCCCTGTTTTGCCTCTCTCTGTCTTTGGAGAGTTGTGYCTTTATTTGTAAGCTCTGACGAATAAACTCTCCTGTGTATCTCTGCCTGTTCTCCATCTTTTATTCCTTGCTCCCCCATCTCTTAGTTCCTCACTTTCCTTTTAGGGATTAAGCGATATTAAACTTTTAGAAGAGAAGGGGACATGTATGGAAATRATTAACATATAATTTAAAAGCCCCAGAGCAAAGATCTCTGCCATACAAAAAGTAGTCTAAAATGAAAAAAAAATTAGATGAAATCATTGAAAAGTGTAAATTATGTGCCAAGGAATTAGTGCTATTCACAGATTAAAAAAGATAAAACCAGTGAATTTACATGGTCAATAATACCATATTACCGTAACACAGTAATGTTTATACATACACTGATATTTAAACATCTGAGTACATATTTAAATCTAATTCAGGCTGGGTACTATAAATATAGTACTTAATTCACAAAACAATGCAGCCAATTTTTTTATTATGTCAGGATAACTATACAACTAGGTGGCTAAAATCTTAAACCAAATCAATAATATATTTTGGCATCATGTAATCATAAGTTTAATTTGCTAGGTCTAAAATTTGTCTGAGTTTTATAACTTAAAAGTTTTTCATATAGACAGGAGATAAACTGTTTAAAATAAAATTGATCTTCTGCTCTGTGGGAGTAGAAATTGTTGACCATCCAGTTCAATGGCTAAACTTCTCAGCACTTCATTTGACAAGCATATCACTGGCCTTCGACATGGTGACAAGGCATCATTTTGATATATTTAACCAGAAGAATAAACCGCATTCTAAATAGTGCTGTCAATCAGATTTAAAAGTAAGAAACAAATRAAATGTAATATACATTTTTGATACACAATTTGCAAAGTGAAATTATAGTACTGAATAATTTTGGAGGTTACTTCCCTACTTTGAAACTCTACCTCATAGATCTTAAGATGGCATATCCTATTCTAAATAATAGTAAAATCACCAGGTAGTTTGTAAATATTACCGATTTTTCCTGAACCCATAGTTKTTTTTTTTTAATAAAACCCAATATCTCACCAAAGATTTCTACACTAAAAACTAGAGAATGTTGCTGAGGAAAAACTAACGATCTAAATAATTCATGGGATAAACCAAGTATTTAGATTGGAAGACTCATTATTATTAAGATGTCAATTCTTAGCTTTATCCATAGATTCAGTGCAATGCCAGTTAAAATCCCAATAGATTGGAGAGTGCGTATGTGAGTGTCTGTATGARAGAGAGACAGAAAAAGAGAGAAAACCAACAAGCTGATTTTCAAATTATTATGGAGATATACATAAAAAATAGCTAAAAGCAAAAATCAAAGAACATATTGAAAACTTAAACTATCAGATGTTAGACATTTTTAGTATGTGGCATGGATGCACATATAGAGAAAAAGATCAATGAAACAGACCAGAAGGTTTAAAGATCTGTGTACGTATAGTCTCCTTATTTACTCCAAAACAATCATTGAAATTCAGTGGCAAAAGGATGATCATTGAATAAATGGTGATGGTCAAAGAGATATCCATATAAAAACCACTGAATCTTGATCCTTGCTTCACACCATGCACAGAAATTAATTAGAAATGATCATAAATATGAAAACAAAGACAATAAAATAGATTCAGGTAGAATAATAAATCTTCAAAAACTTGTAGCAAAGATTTTTTTGAAAGGAACACAGGAAGCATTACTCACAAAAAAAAGATAAATGGGACTTCATTAAAATTAAAATCTTTATTAATCAAAATACATTAGAAGAGGCCTGGGAATGTGGCTTAGTGGTTAAGTGCCCCTGAGTTCACTCCCTGGTACCAAAAAAAAAAAAAAAAAGAAGACATTAGAGAGTGAAAAGACAAGCCATAGACCAGAAGAAGGTATCTGCATACATACACCCAATAAAAGCATCATATATGGAATATACAATGAGCTCCCATAAATCAATAAGAAAAATATTGAAATGCTTATTTTAAGTTTGTCCAAAAAACTTCAGCACTTCAAAAATGAATATTCAAATTGTCAACCCACTGCTTGTGGAAGTGAAAATTACTATAATCACTTCAGAAAACTGTTCAGCAGTATTTAGGAAGGTTAAATACACATGAATTCTGTGACTTGGAAATTCAATGGCCCAAAAGAAATGACAGCAAAAACAATGAGTGTAAATGACCCTTTTACATAAGRTATCCATGACGGCATTATTCCTAATAATCTAAAACTGAAAACAACCCCAAAGTTCATCAGCAAGATGTTGGTATATACAACAATAAATTGTATAGCAATAAAAATAGAAAAAACTAATGATACATGCAACAACTGGATGAATCTCACAAACAACATGAGGCAAAAAAAATATATATAAAATTCCTCCCCAAATATGTGCTGCCTAATTCCATCTACATGAAGTGCAAAGACTGCATAACTAATCTATGTCAAAACAGTGGTTATCCTGATGGGGTGTCAACTGGTCGACTGGGAACATATACAGAGAAGCTTTCTGGGGTTCTGGAAGTGCTCTCTATTAGAGTAATAGTTAAACAGACCTATAAATACATACGTTAAAACTCCTTGCACTATCCACTTAACATTTGTTGACTTCCATGTGTGAAAGTAATACTTCAACAAAAGAGGAAAACAGCATTTCTATGAGAAAATATTTGAAGCTAAACCTTATTCTTATAAACAAAAATCCTAAATTCTCATCAAATTTTTATTATGGCCATGAATGACTATAACAAATAAAAGACTTTACAATATATGTATGCTTCAGTAGATAATTGGCAAAATGAATCTTCAGACAACATAAAGGAACTTCCCACTGTAACACTTTCCTAATGAGGTAGAGGTATGTTGGCCTATTTCCAATTTGGAAACAGTATATATGTTATTTAAATTCTTCCAAGGACTTTGTGAATATATAATGATATCAATGCAATAAACCTGTCACTTTGAAATGAATGGAATTCAACATTTCCAGCAATATTTATGTAAGTATTTCCCCATTAAAAGTCTTTAGCTAATGAAAATCAAATGTCATTTCATACAGAACACGCTTTGTTGTAAAAAGTTGGACAGAACAAATTAAAGCTAAATGTTGGATAGAACAAATTAAAGCTAAATAATCTTAATTATTTGTGCCTTAAGATTTAAGGCACAATAATCCTAATGCCTGAAATCTGATAGATCCATTGCATAAAGTCGAAAGGCTAGGGGAAGTGGCAATCACAAGTTGAATATGCTAATTTATTTACATATCAACATATTCACTTTAATATAAAGTAAAGCACAGTTTAAAGTAAATGTACATGTACCTTAACCATTTACAGGTAAGATTCAAATATACGAATATTGTGTCAGGTAGACAGAGACCAAGCACTGTTGCAGTGTTTCTTCAAAAGTCCTCTGGAATATTTCAAAAGTAACAACTAAAATTTATCTCCAAAAAATGTACTGCTTAGAGAATTCTAATCAGCAGATTTTTTTTAAAAGCAAATACAAATGTCTTTTAAAAATTCATGCTAAGATGTTAATGACTGTCAGATCCACTTTTCTTCTTCCTTGGAAAATTTAAAGGACTGAAAGGGTATCAAAAAGAGCCAAAGGAAACAGAAAGCTAGGCAGCTAGATCAGACTTGTGTATTCCATGATTTTAATTAATTATCTACAAATAAAATACATAACTTTTTTTAGTTTAGAAAAATTAGAATCCCTCATCATCCAAGGGAACCAGACCATGACTATTCAATGTCAGAGTAGAAATATAACACGTTTCCCATAAACAAACATATTTTCTGCGTATCTTTTCAAAAACATGTTAAATAATAGCATATCTAAGAAACTGTCTTCATCCTGTATCAGAAAAAAATCATCCTTTTTAAACACCTGCTTGAAAAATAAATCTCTAAACACACACACACACACACACAMACACACACACAAAATCACCTTTTCCCCCTAATCTTTAAATCCTCATACTATGATTTTACCTTCTGGCATTACCTCCTCTAGCATGAGATTAGAGCATATCTTTTTTTTAAAATTAATTTTTAGCTGATACATAGAAACATAAAAAATTGTACATATCTAGAGGTTAACAGACAAGAATTTTTGGAGAAGACACTGAAAGCACAGGAAACCAAAACAAAAGTAGACAAATGGGACTGCATCAAACTAAAAAGCTCCTGCACATCTTTTGATACATATTTTTCTTATCAGTTTTCTGGTATTTTCTGTACCTACTTATATAAAAGTCTTCAGTTTAATATAGTACTCAATAATAGCATGTTAAAAATCCTTCTTTTTCCACTTTTATTATTTTTTATTTTTGTTGGGGGTGGT